GCCCAGCCCAGCCCAGCCCAGCAGCAGCAGTAGTAGTAGTAGTAGTAGCAGGAGCAGTAGGAGTAGTAGTAGTAGTAGTAGTAGTAGTAGTGGTAGTAGTAGTAGTATTAGCGGTAGTAGTAGTAGTCGTCGTCGTCGTCGTCGTCGTCGTCGTAGACGTGGTCGTGGTCGTAGTCGCAGCCGTAGCCATAGCCGTAGCCGTAGCCGTATTCGTAGGCGTAGGCGTAGTCGTAGTCGAAGTCGTAGCCGTAGAATTGGCCGTAGTCGTAGGCGTAGCCGTAGCCGTAGTCGTAGTCGCAGTAGTAGTAGTAGTAGTAGTAGTAGTAGTAGCAGCAGTAGTAGCAGTAGTAGTAGTAGTAGTAGTAGTAGTAGTAGCAGTAGTAGTAGTAGCAGGCATGCCAGTAAGGCAGTAGTTGTTGTTGCTGCTTCGGCAGCACGGACATCAAACAGGGACCTTATTACAACCCGAAGATCTCTAAAGACAGGGGCGAGCACCGGCGTTGTCACCAGAACAAACTGAGCCCTCTAACCCAGATTCCCTTTGCGCCAGTCTCCTGATGAGCCTTCGCCGCATCTGCAGCATCAGCGAAGCCCACAATGGCCGGAATTCCCTCGACTCGCTTTGATTTTTGAGCGGGCATCCCGTGGGGGAGCAGAAAGCATCATGCATGCATCCCAAAATAGGTGTACTCTCCGGGACTGAACGACAACACCGCTCCACCGATCTTGACGGTACTCTGTGGAACTCCTGTGCCCTCAACACCTTTCTAGTCTGATGTCTCCATCCGAGAATGCGGCTATTACACGTGAGGGCGAAAGTCGAGGCAGACCAACGAGTCTGGGCAGCAGTCCTCGTTGCGAAGTCGACAGCCGCGCCCGCTGCTGCGCGCCATGTTCTCAGAGTCCCCGACCTCGAGGCTCACAAAAATCTGAGGCTGGGCGGACATTCATCCGGCAGCAACGAGTTTCCCATGAACTTTCTCAGCTACAGTTGTGCTCCGTGCTCGTGAGATGTGCGGCGAAAGGGCGGTTCGTGGGCTGTGTAGCAAGAGAGGCGACGGTGTCCTCCGGCTGCCCTAACTTACATCAGCACTATTAGGAACAGCAGCAGCAACAGAAGCAACACCAGCAGAAACAGCAGAAAGAAAAAACCATCCTCATCGCAGTCTTCTGCATATTCGTCTCGTCGCAAGTGGGAAACAAGAGTGCCGCTACAAACAGGGACGAATGTCGATTGCCATCCGCAGAAGTACTATCGTTATGAACATGGTCATGGCGGTTGCCGCCGTGCCTATCGTCGTCACCATACTTATGATAGCGCTTATCATCACCATCAGAGTCGATCGTCTCTGCTGTCTGTTGTGACAGCAAGATGTACTCTTCCTTAAGATCAGACAAGCCCATGATCTACTGGGAGCCACGGCCTCTCCGGGACCTTCTGAGCAAACTAAGCCACAAGATGATATCTCAGACGGTCACCTTTCCGATACCTTTTCATTCTATAACGTTCATATACCTTTATGTTGCCTTTTCTAGACAAAGCGATGTACCTTTTCCTCACTTTTTATGTACCTGTATTTAATATTTGCTCCTGCCTGTGGTTTACCTTTTTTACCTTTGATGTACCTTGATTCTTATTCAAACTGACATCTGCCTTTGTCTCCGTGGATCGGACCTTCTACAACTAACAGCGTGTAGGCATCGGCATCACCAGCTGCACGGAATCTAAATAGTCATCATGAAACATCGATATGGTGATCGCCATACACCTTCTGCATCACAACCATCATAATGCCGGCATCATCCTGATAAATCATGGTCGGCAGCAGCACCGCGAGGAGCCACCAGCTCCCTGCATGTGCCACTCATCGCCGACTTGACTTGCGAATCAAGATTTAAAGAAAGTACATGGACAAGGATGGCACGGCTGCCATGAAAACCAAGGGCCACTGCAACAAACCCATGCCGACAACAGATCAATGCTGCAAAGACGGACACCTCCCCGTGCTTGGCTGCCCCCTTGTCGCGTCTGAGAGGATCGGCCCACACTACCACGGCGGTGTGGCACGACGATGGCAGGCACCTTCAGTTCTGGCGCTGCTGATGTGGCTTGTCGGGCAGGCCCCGAATGCGAACCGAGTGACACCTCTGATTGAGAATATTGACCGCCGGACGCAGACTAAGAGCCCAGACAACTCAAAGAATTGCAGATGGGAAATCGGCGAATGCTCGTGACAACCACAGAACTCATACTCAGTGCGGAAAGCGGGTCAAGGTCTGGACTGCAGCCGTTGTCGAACCCACTCTGCTGTCTCGTGCAAACGCCTCCGGGCAGCGATTTAGGCCGAAACTGAACTTTACCATGTCGCTTAGGGAGACCTTCAGCTGCACACTCAGCTGAGCTGAGAGTACTTCAACTGCTGTTGGCTCACATGGACAAGTCAAGCTCATCAAAGGGTGCGGCGTGCAGTGCTGGCTAAGTCGCATGAACTTAACCTGTAAGGAGGCAGCTAAGATATTGTAGTGTAGACTGAACTGCCAAAGTGGAAAGTTAAAATGTACGACAATGACGGTGCATGTTCTTCTCTATCTCGACTTTATGGCATAATATGTGTTGAGGCATAAAAGGCAGACAGACAACTAGAGCAACCGATCGATCAAAACGAACACACGGCCACGTAGACGTGCAGCACACCGAGCTCATGCAGCAGCAGATCGCCTGTCTTCCGGGAGCTGTCGAGATGCTGGCGACTGTGGCGGCAAACGGCCCACCGACGCATGAAGCCTGACTGCACAGCTGCACCTCTCCCCGCACGAAGGAGTGTGTTTGGGCCATACCTACGGAAGTTAGTGTGAGGACCGACACACGCAAGCCGCTTGCTTGCGAGAGTGAACTATGCTGGGCGGATCACGGCAGCATTCCAACGGAAAGATGCTGGTGCAGCTGAGCATTCGAGCCTTATGGACAGGGCAAGCTCTCGCGCGGACAAATGGCCCTCCCGACCACTGAAGGGCATCGAAAGGTAAAGGCATTGAATCTCTGCGTGGGCAATTGCATACTCTGTGCAAAACATTCACACGAAGCCGCTACATGGGGACTGCAAGCACTGAGGATATGCTGCCAACCGAGATCACTGCGATCGAAGTCACCCAACGGTTGCCCCTGGCGCTCGAGAACGTTGTCTGTGCACTCTGTGTGAGTGTCTGTGTACGGGCGTCTGTGCGTGTGCGTGTGTAAGGATGTACTGTGAAGAACCCATCTCGACTGCCACTACTGCTACTACTCCTGCTGCTTACTACTAATTACTACTGCTACTGCTACTGCTACTGCTACACTAGTACGACTACCACCACTACCACTACCACCAC